AAACTAAACAATGTAAGCGGAAACCAGTTGCTTTGTTACCTTGTTAGATCTTTTTTTATACGTGAAACTTTGTAAGAATTTTTGCTAACATATTTCTTGACCGTCTTTTATTTCTTGCAAAGCAATAAACTTATCAGTCCTTAGTCTAACAAAAACGACAAACAATCGTTTTTCTTTCTTTTTCTTCAACTTTATTATAAGCCCTTTGTTAACAATTATTTTGTTTGTTTTTTTTTTTTTTCATTTTTCTTTAAAGCTTTCAAAACGAGACATTTAACATATCTATTGCTTTTATCAAATAAATTAAAGTTTTTAACATTTCATTTAACTGGAAAATTATTGAAAATTCAATAATTTATTGTTAAGTCAAAAGTGTTTTTTTTGTTTTTTTTTTTTTTTTTTGTTGTTTTCATAAATCCTTTGGATTTTTGTATTTTTCTTCTTTTCGTAAGCGTCTCTTGTAAACTTCCTTATATTGTGGTATCGGCATCATGACAATCGGTTTATTATTTGAAAAGATCTTTTGCTGTCTGTTTCTCTGCCTTCATAGGCAGCGAGAAGTCATGTTCGCCTGTTAAGCGTTTCTTTTTCTTTTTTTTTTTTGTTTTATTTATATTATTATTAATTTGAAAAGAAGAAAAAAAATATTATTTATTTTCATCTTTTATGTCATGACATTTTTCACCTTTTCTTTCTACCCATCACCTAGCATTATCGTCATCATGATGCAAGAGTTCATGGAGATTATTGCGAACAATAAAGCAACAAAAACAACAAAAATAACAAATGCAACAATGATATGTTATTTGATGTAATATTTGACTCTTATCAAGATATAAACGCATATTTAGATAATTATGTGTGTACTCACTGCGACCGTATGAAGGAGTCAGCCGGTCTATACACATATTTACTTTTAACTCTATTATCAGCGATTTGATAGTCGTCGTTATTTTCTATATATATATATATATTTTTTTTTTGTTTTCTTTTTCCATTTTTTATTTATTTTTTTTTTTTTTTTTTTTTTTTTTAATATCCATATATAGAAAATAATGGAGGGAGGCGTTCAATCATCGACAATATCATTATTCATTATGAGCGGTATTTCATTTTCATATTATTATCTGCTATTTGCAGTAAAATACGTTGGCTTTTAAATAAATATTTTCCTATGAAATTTCTTGTGATTGGTTTTTTGAATGGAGTTTCTCTTCAATTAACACACCTTCATTTATATATAAATATATATTTGTGCCGACAATATATTACGGGGCAAACCCGCAGCATAAAGGGACATATAAAAAAAAACCATAAAAATTAATCTTTCATTTTAGATATCTATCTGTGTTTTCCTTTCTTCTTTTTTTAAAGTTTATTTTTTTATATCAACATTTTGTCGGAATAATCATTTCTTTTAAACACTTAGCGTAACTAAGCTTTCCACAGATATAATAATAATATTTCATCTTCTAACCTTCGAAACGTGAATTATTATTTTATTTATTTTTTAGCAACTACTAAAAGTATGCTATGTCTTCTCTAGCAACACATACATCTCAAATATTACATAGTAGATAAGGGATCTATATACGTAGAACTTGCACTCATCATGCGCATTCCATGCATATGAAAAAATATCCTTATCTCGTGACCTCTACAATATCCTCATTGTAAGACATATCTCTCTCTCTCGCTCGCTCTCTCTCTCTCTCTCTCTCTCTCTCTCACACACACACACCCTTTCTCTCTTCTCTCTCACCTTTTCTCTCTCTATCTGTCTCTCTCTGCCTCCTCTCTCTCTCTCTCCACTATCTGTAGCTCCCATTTCTATATCACTCATTTATCTTATAATTCGTTGCGCTAATTTCCCTACCTCTCCATCTATCTATTTTCCTGTTCTGCGACCCTCTTACCGCAATGATTTTAATTCGTAATGCTTGCTTAAGTAATGTTATTTATTAATTTTTGGTAAATGTCATCTCATACTCTAACACCCTCCATTATTCCAATCATCTAAACACCCTCCCGTTCGGCCTCGCTTTCCGCTAGTGGAGAATCACATTTTTATTCATTCACTTATTTATTTTCTATTTTCTTCTTACTTCTCTATCCCCCAATCTTCCCTCTTCCTTATTAACCAACCAACCCTTTTCGCACTCATCCCCCTACCATCCATCTCTATCTTTATATGTATTCTTGACACTCGTTGTAATTTGCATTAGCACGTACCATTCACAATACTGAACGAAAATCCAAATGACATTTTTATGCCATAACTAAGGAAAAGACTTTGGCGGTTTGTTAATTGTGTGTGCGCTAGATCCCTAGATCGAATTTACCTGGTTTTTAAGCCTAACCTAGCAAAGCTAATAGGAAACTTTATATAAAGAATAAGAAAAGACAATGGGCCAACATTGCTGTGTATTTTTAACACTAATGAAGATTAACTATGCGGCTATTGGCACATAAATACGCCAAGTTTAAGATAAAACTTGTATAGGGACTAGCCCAGAAAGTGGTCTAAACCAAAACCATTTTCAATAGGTTTCGTTCTTAGGATAAAATAGGTCAGTGTAAAAAAATTTATCAAAATTTATCGCTACGTGTAGCTATAACACAAATTTCCATGGACTGACACAGACGGACAGACAGACTTAGATCAATCAAAGCTCTTGCTTTCATCGCTAAAGCCAATGCCGCAAAAGCAACGTAGACCCATATAGGTACCTTAGAAACATCACGTACCACAATTAATAAGCGATTTGCTACAAGCGTACCGCATATCTTTAGAAGAAGACTTTTACGGGACGAAGCTCTTTGCTTAAGTGATCAGAAAGCAGCCTTCTCTGCCACAATTGCATATCGATGTGCTTTTAGCATTTGCCAGAACTCATGTATCGCGCATAGTGCATTTTTAGTGATACGTATTACAAGGCGAGGGAAAACAGAAAAAGTATTGGAAATGAAAGGGAAATTTCCACACCATCGAAAAGATCAAGATAAAATCTATGAATAAAAGTACTGAGACAAGAATGAGTGCTTGAAATATATCTTCACGGCATGGGGTAGAGCTAGAAGTTTCATATCAAAAGATACAATGAAGAAGATTATCTGCGCCTTCATGCCAATAATTGGATTGCATGATAATGATCCAAAGCATTGAGAAAATATTAGAAATAATTCACTTCGTGTCGACCTTAACTACATGAAAAATTCACGAAATCACATTGAAGTAAAGATAATGTTTAACAAATAAAAACATTACCGTGGGTCATGCCCTCTCATTAAATACCCTACACCACCTTATTGTTATTCATTCAACGACTTTTTTAAGCCAAGGTATTATATGGGAAATGGTCGAGAAATGCTCCTGATCTGAATCAGTTTCAATAGCGTTTCTCTTTGGACCAAAGCACGTCATTGCTTCAAATTTCACTAAAATATATATCAAAAATTGCGACGTTTAAGTTGAACACAAGTAAACAAGATGAATAAGCAGACAGACGGACAGGTCGATTCAGAAATTAATACAATAAATTAATACAAGGTGATTCTCTCCCAAATCCTTCGGGGTGTTGCATACATCCTCACAAACTACCCTACCCTAATATACTCTTGTACCATAAGCGCTGTAGCGTATAAAAGTAATAAGAAATTTTTGGAAAGGGATAAAGTGTCTTAGATGTTCCGTACGAAAGAAGATCGGATGTCAGAAATTAGTCGAAAGCAATCGCACGAAATATTCTCATTATTGTTATTACTATTATTCATTATCATATTATTCATTATTAATATTTTATTTATGTTTTTTCTCAGGTAACGGATTTCTTTTCTATTTTCGTATCTCAAGAATTTTTGATACCTTTGTGAAGAATTTGTCCAAGTGATAATTTTTGTTTTCGTGTGTGACGTCTTAATGTTCTTCAACGACCATATATTTAGCAATTCGTCGACAATCATCTAAAACTTTCTCTTTTGTAGCGACGCAGCTCTTACTGTTTAGATATGTAGGTCCCAGTTAAGTGTATTAAGTCGGATGCATTACGAATTGATTTTAAGACGCATACAAAGTCTAAATACCGTATATACATTCGTCTATCGGTCAGATAATTGAATTGAATTTCAAGGAAAATAAGTAAATAAATAAATTTACCTAACTAATGAATGCATAATAAATTAATTAATATATTTGACTATCATTGACCTTTTGTACATCATGTAGCCCTTAATCCATTTACTCGTTTCCTGGAACACCCTTTAAAAGCAAACCAATTTTTATAGTTTAAATTATGCTGTAAAGCAAGATATTTCTTTTGTTATTGTAAAATTTAACAACATGCGTACGTGTGAAGTTTCAGACAATATAGTTATATGCATAAATTAGATTCAATCTGAATGTATGCGTGATATATAGCAAAATGTATCGTTGCGTTTGGTCGTCGTTCCCTTCTAATGTTAAACTTTAATGTCTCCTTAACTGACTTTGCGTGTACAGATATGTGTGGGTTGTGTCTGGTTTAACAAATTAAGTGTAATTGTCGAGCTTTAAAGTGTGTTTGTCATTGTTATGCTGCTTGCTATTGCTACTTCTGTCGTTCTATACGTTCTTCGTCTTTCTTATATGGAGATCATCTCTACTATTGCTATTATTATTATTATTATTATTACTGTTGGTTTTAGCTAAATGGGCGTAAGATTAGTTAGACTGTTGTTATGGTTAAAACCCACACAAAAATTTTCTTTTATTAATATATATATACAGCTTTATTATTATAAGGAAAAAATTCTCAGAAAATTATTTTTCACTTTAAATTGGAGTTTTTTGTCTTTTCTTTGTTTTTTTTTTTTTTTCAATTTATATAAACACGCCCTCATTTTGATTACTTGGTTTTTTTTTTTTGTTTTATTTTGTATATATTGTGAGCGATTTTAATAACAATTTTTTCTTATGTTTTCTTTTTCTTTTTTTTTTTTTTGCTTTATTCATTTAATTTCAGGTGTTATACCATGAAATTGTATCACACGCTCGAGTGGTAAGCGCCTGCATAAGAGCCGCCTCTGAGAAAGAGAAACAACAACAGCAATTGCAACAACAGCAACAACAGCAACACTTATTAACTATCAACGATTCCAGTTTAATAGCGGAACAAACTAATTCTTCACTTTCTTCCACGGATGATACAACGACAACGATAACAACGACAACGACAGCGACAACAACATCAACACCAACAACAGGTACAACAAACTCTGATAGCTCAGGTATTGTTGTCGATGCAACGTTAGATGCAGAAAAAAGCCTAACTTTTGCTGAAACCGCATCGCCATCTACTAATAGCAGCAGTGAAGCAATTGTCGTTCATCATAATAAAAAAATTGAAAATCAATTAGAACGTTTGCAGAATCGTTATCATTTATTGTATTTAAAAGCATTCGAAGTTCAATTATGGTTGGATGGTTTATTGCGAAAGAAAAGCATATCAGCGGTAAGTGCTTCCTGTAATTTTAAGAAACTTTCCATAGATACGTGAAGTAAAAGTGATTTTTTTTTTTTTATTTTATTTTATTTTATTTATGTTTTTTTTTTATCTAAAACTTCTGCAAGTGCTCAGAGGCGCAACGACATTGGTTGCGAGATCTTCTTAAAAAAGAGAAAGCCAAACGATGCAAAATTCCGATCTTTTGTATCCGTAAAGACACACTAACGATATAAACATGTAATTGAATGTCCAGCTGAAGAATCTACCAAAGCAACAAAAAAAATGCTCAACTATTTACTTGAAGAACTAGCTCACGTGGGATTCAAGGAATTAATTTTGAACAATTTTGCCACATGTGAAATGTTGTGTGATCTTTTTCGGAAGCTACCTTTTACAATTTGTGTGACATAGAACTGAAAATGCTACATGCACCAACGTAGTAGCGTATTAGCTTTTCCCATTCTTACTTCCTTAATTAATTGCTTCACGATTGTTCTGTACATATTGACTTGATTATCATAAATTACATCATACAGCATAAATCTCCAACTGGCTCGAGAAGTCTTTTTCATCTCTCTCTCTCTCTTGCAACATATATTTATTTCACTTCAGACTTAAGCAGAAAAAAGGCTGAGACGAAGTTCGAAATTGTTCTAGACATTAATAGACGGATATAATAGATATATATCTCTTAGGTATAGTATTTTGGTCCATTCTTAATATTTGGGAAATTTAGCAGACGACCACAGACGAACAGAGCCGTTGGCTTTTTGATGCCTCTTGTAAATGATGTTATGTGTGTAAATCGTGAAAGTAACTCTGTCTGGTGTTTTATTGCATCGCACCACAATTCCTACCCTTATTCGTGTATTACCGTGTCTATTCTTATCCCAATTCGTATACCTATTTCTATCTCTAATCCTATTCCTGTTCCTGTTGCTATCTGTCTTTATATATCTGTTTTTACTTTTTTGTTAGTTTCCTTCTACCTTCATATACTTTTTTGTCTCCCTCCCTCTATCTCTCTCTCTCACTGACTCTCCGCCTGTCTTTCTGCCCATCTCTTTCCCCTTTCTTTCTCGCTTCGTTTCGCTTGGTACACCTTTCACTTTTACCTTTTTTCTTGGCATAGTTCTAAACGATTTGTTCAAGTCTCAGATACCATACAAATTTTCCTTTCATTTAACGGCAAAGCAATTATTGCATCATTAGCCTTTAAAAAACCTAATTGCTTAAAGAAAATGAATTTAAATGTCAATAAAAAAACATTCTTCACTTTTACCTGAACGCTATGACAGCACACAACGAAGACTGTAGTGCTATTGCGCTTGATGGGTTAGTGATTGATATACTTTAGAAATCGTTGGTAACTTAAATTGCATTACTTTTTATATGAAAAGCTTTATGCTTTTTTCGTACTCTGCTCCACTCCTGGTATTGTTAAAACTTGCCGCCAAAAGATGGTGATCCATAAACCTTTTTCTTTTTGCTACAATCAAAAGAACATCTTTGAGGTCGCGTAAGGCATATGTTTTTCTTTTAAAAAAGTAAATACGTACCTCTGTCCGTCTATTTGTCTAGTTCGCAAGCTTCTAATTAATCACATAAAGCATTGAAATTGAGTCCAGGAATTCGTCAGGCTAGCTTGAATGGTGGTGCAAATACGTATACATGATCTGTCAGATATATATCTAGATAGATATATATATGTGTATAATGTCAATAATACATCTGGAAAAGCGTAAATAGGTAAACTAACTTTGAAAAATATTTTTTCCTATAACTTATGCCTTCTTATGCTTCTATATACTCATGGACGATTTGGATATATCAGACGCACCTTTATATATATATATATATATATATACAATAGAACCAATTGCAAACCCATTACCGATATAAATATAATTCGGTCAAGTCCAATTAAGGTGACAGGTGTACAAAATTCGTTATGAGATGTATTTATTTGTTTTAGTTGATTTCAATTCATAAAATCACTAATACATGACATGACACAAGACAGACAGGCAAACATAAAATTGTCGAATTATGTCCATTATTACTATTATGTCGAACTGGTAATAAATCATTTTAATTACTTAGGTTTGAAAAAGTCTAGAAGGCAGTGCTCTTGTCGCCAGGCAAAACAAATAAATAAGTAAACAAACAAACAAATAAACAAATAAATGCCCGGGCATGGAAAAAGGCGCCGATTTCTATATAAAATTTATATAAATTTTTGAATTGACATAAAATACGGATTAAATGACTAAAAAACTAAAACGAAAGTAAATTGGCTGAGTTAGAGAATATGAGAAAGAAAAACCAATAATAAATTTTTTAATGCACTTTAAGACTAGACAGATACATATATGCACAAACACATAAGACGGAAGTGATAAAAACGTAACTATTAAGCATTAGTTGTGTTGTATAAATATTGTCCAGAAAGAGAGAACAAGCAAATGTTACGAGCAAAGATAGATATGGTAAATATATGTATATGTGCAATAAAGGGTTGGTTGATAGTAACGTTTGACAGGAATCAGTTTTTCTTTCATTTGATTATTATTATTTTATTTATTTATTTATTTATTTTTTTGGTTTTTCTATCGAAAGTTTTATTATTACATGTGTAACGGAAATTTGTACAGTTTTGTTAAACATTTTTGTCGTGTTTACAACTTTGTGGTGGCTTTTCGCCATAACATATGTGTACGTGTAGCTAGTTACCCACTCTTCGCATCTGTTTATCTTTTACAACAATAACAGCCACCAACAGAAAGTAAAAGTAAAATTTATGTTTTTTACATTTAACAAATTTTAAGGAAAACAAAACAATGGATTGGCTTTTTTTTTTCTTCTTCTTCTTCTTCTGCTGTTTTTCTGCAAGACGAAACAATGACATGACATACGGTGTTAAAGCTCTCTTTGCTTGTCACATACCCTCAGACTGTCTGTCTGTTGTATGCATTTATTGGTTGTGGTGGACAAAAACAAAAGCAAAGCCATCATAAATGTGGTTTAAATGTTATGAATATTTCAAAAAAAAAAAAAAAAAAAGCAAAAAAAAAAAAGTAAGCAAAACAAAAAATAAATAAAAAATAAAAGAAACCTCAAAAACGGCTCTTACCGTTATACATACATACATACATAAATACATAAATACATACATCCATGCATACATACGTAGATACGTATAGTTTTCGTAAACTTTGTGTAAAAACTATACTTCTGCCCCCTTCAGCAGCTTCGCATTCATAACATCATATGTAATATGTTTCAAACATATTGATCGCACCATATGAAATCTCCGAGAAGCATAAGGAAAGAAAACAACAAAATTTTTCTTTACAACTTTGTTTCAATTTGCTACGTTTCTCGGTTACTATCTTTTTATTTTTATTGTTACGGCGGTCCATAAATCACACAAAAACAACATTTCTCTATGTAAATATTTGTAGGGGTATATGTTACGGCATTATACCATGAAGATTTTTTCTATAATATTTTTCTAAAGTTTCGTGAGTTCACAGTCGTCATACGAATACAAAGATGTTTACAAATTACTCCAAAGTTAGGTAAAAGATTCGATTACATCAAATGTACCGTAAAAATGATATAACTTGTTTGAGCTTATTTCAAATCTCTCTAAGAAAAAAGAAACCCCCCCCCCAAAAAAAAAAAAACAACAAAAATTATTGACAAACCAAATCATCCCAATCCGAGATATTTATGCTTTAAAAAACTTTTCATATGCAACATGAGATTGAAAAGGAAATTATATTCGGCCGTCTATGCCCTGAAGTTAACGCCAAAAAAAAAAAAAGTAATCGAAGAAAAAGGATGGATCTTGCTTAAATTAAGAAGCCAAGGTCGACTTTTTTTGATTTGCCTGCAAATGCTGTCGCATCGTTCTTACATCTCCTACATATGTAGGAAAATTTTTACAGTTATAATATCTTTTGCATTTTATGAGGATCGAGCAGAAAAATCAATTTATTTTGCTTTTGAAAGCGAATATGTTCTCAATTCCTATTGCATTGTAGGCATGTCCGATTTAGTTCATTTTCAATAGCGGACCCGTGTGCAAGAGCTACGAATATCACTGCCAAATTTACACGCCATTAAAGCAAGCAAGCGTATGTTTACAGCACATCGACGAGGAGCGCCTTCACATTGAGAAAATCGATTATGCTGCTTAACTACTGTGCAGCAGTTAATTGTAAATTATAGAACCAAACTTTTGGACATGCAGTAATTTTTGATTTTCTTCATTGCACGTATTTGCTTGCGTGCACACTCCGTTGCATTTTCTTTTCTCTTCTCAAACAACATGTATATAAAATCATGTTCTTATAGAACTTGGCAAGACGATTTAAATGATTGCACAGACCGAAAGACTCATGTGCTTGTCTCGCTTCATTTCTATACCAATTCTCTAGATTACACGCATCTCTTCTTCAAGAAAATAATAGATCGAAACGACCAATTTCATGCGCAATGCCTTACACTTTATTTTAATTCATTATTGTACTTTATACGGGTTGTGGTAGATGGTATATTAAGTTTGTGCGGATATATGTAACATCCTTAAGGGAAACTCATTTCTATTATACCGATCGATTTAAAATCATTTTCTAATTCGAATTAAGCTTGTCTCTCGTTCTTTATCCGTCTGATGTCTGTCTATATATACTTGTGTTTGCAAATGTCGAGATATTTTGGCGAAATTTTGTCCCAGAAACGAAGCATATTGAAAATGCATTGCACATGTAACGCCTCACTTTGAAACAGCCATTATATGATAAAAAAAAACGCAATTTCCGTTAATATAAGAAATCTGGATCGGCGCGGCCAGTGTTGTGAACCCTCTCTTGTATAGCTGTTCTTTCGAAAGGTAAGCCTTTATATATAGGAAAACGGTACTTTGCACAGAAATCTATCCTTATAGTCCATGGCGGTTGGTATAAAAATGCATTTTGTCAAACTTGTATAATGTGTAG